GGAACGAAGTTACGGAAAAATCAATTAACAAACGGAGACGTAACAATATTAAAAGTAGCACTGTTTTTTGAAAAAATAATAGTTTTTTTTTAAGAACTCCAGTTTCTCAGTAATACATTTAAAAATTACATCAATAAAGATATAATCAAACTCTCATGTACAGTCCTAGTGAAAGTCGTGTTCTTGTTGTGAGGAGAGTACTTTTATTTAAAATTGTGTTCTGTAATAAAGAAATGGTTGTTGCACATACCATAGTTATTTTTCTAATTATCTGAATTATAAATACCCAAAGTGTGAAATATTTTTGGCTTTTTGTTTTTGGTACCATTCAGTAGATGGGACAGGATTTCTGTTTACATACATAGATACTGACATACATGCCACATTCATTATGTCATTTTATTTTGTATAAATAGCTTCAACTTCTGACTGACATATTTTAACAAGAATAGTTATGACATATCCTCTATTTAAAAATTTTAGATAAGATTACAAACAATACTTTTGTGCTTGTCCCCAGCACATACAGCCCAAGTTCAAATTACATTAGAATATTCATAATACCTTAAACTTCTGACTCGTTCTAATAAAAATTCAATAAAGCTACACAGCTACTTCAGAAAATGACATAGATATCAACAAGTGCATAACATGCTTTATTACAATTCAAACACAAGTTGAATAGATATATTATCTTTTACAGTATATCGATACATTTGTCAATTTAATCCCGAGTTTTTGCAACTTGAAAAGTGTGTAAGGAGAATGTGGATTTCTATAAATGAGTTTTCTACTTTATAAACAAGGTTCATTTGATTTTACAGTTGAAGGAATTAAAGTTATGATGTCTCCTGTAAGCTTAAATGTTTGATCAGGTAAAAGATTATGCTCTGGTGCATGTAGTATTTTCCCAAAACATTCAAGACAGTTTTCACATTCAACCTTATGGTAATTCACAAACTTTGTTTCAAAAATCTTACTTTTATGTCAAGAATAGAAATAAATTATCTTATCTATAATCATACTTTCAAGTTTACTTTGACTGACCCATTTTAGTATTCTGGCATACTCTTGAGTTTATGTAAAGTTTTATGCACATAAATGTATAGCTTTAACTATAGACAATTGTTCAAAGAAATGACTAAGATTCCTTTTGCCTTAGTTACCCATATTTCTGGATCATTCATACGAGACATCACAAGTGCTTGCTTTCTAGTGGAAACATTCTAGTAGACAATGATTTTAAAAACTGGCACTTCAGATGATACCTTGAGGCTACAAACCTCCCTTATTTGTCAAAAAGAATAACATTATTATTTCATATATACAATGCTATGTTTTATCAATCTGAAACATATTTTCTTCTTTTTCATTGAGACTTCTCAACATCCAGTAAAGACACTAAGTAAATACCTTCACTTTGATTGTGTTTTGAGAATTATATAAATATTACTTTACATTGTGTCTGTCTCTTTCTTTGCTAAACTCAATGAAAGTTCGGAATTTATATTCAACTCAGTGATACACTTCCTGGTTGAATCTCCCATTATTTTATAGACCTTACACCATTAATCCTAAAGGAAATCAGTGTATCTGAGAATGCTACAGAGTAAGTAGGAAGGAGAACTTTTGGTGCCATGAACACGATTTGTTTCTTGTAGAGTTTCTGTTTTTCTCTTGACGAGTTAATTTCCCTGTGCTCTTCTGAACTCTTGAATTATTAATTTTAAAAAGGTTTCACTCTTAAGGAAATAGCATTTTTCCATGGATCAAAGGAATCATAACCAGGAAAAGAAAGATTGGTTAATGATGGGATATAGCTGTCAGGAAGTGTAGTTGGTTCTTGGAGGAGCCCTCTCCTGAATGTCACTTTTTGCAATGCTGCAAAGGTCTGTGGCTTCATCTTCACTGTGGGTGCAAACTCAGGAAGGAGAACCACCAGAATCTAGCACACCTAGCAATGCCAATCAAGTTCTCCCCTCTTAGGACTGTGTATTCTGGAGAGTTCAAGACGAAATTCGGTGGGCTCCACAGGATTCTCAGGCCTTTGTGAATCAGAATAGCCTAATCCCAACTCTGGTCGAAATAGTCCAGGAGAGAGAGAGAGATCGGAGGTCCCACTGGAAATTACCTCTATTTTAACTCCAGCAGGTGATTCAGGGGGCACTCATATGCTTTTCTTGGATGTGAGGTATACTGCTAGAGTATCTGTATTGACAAGTTCATTGAAGGGCTAACTGGCAAGGACACACCAGTCAGGTGTAAAAAACATTATTACACTAATGGAGGCAAATTCTGATGCAATGAGGTTCAAGGTCATACTATTATATAAGTTGCAGGAGAAGTAGCCCACAGAGGCTGTAACTTAGAGTGCCTCCTGAACATCGTATAACATCAAGCTCAAGCTTCACTTCAGGAAATTCTCAGCCATTACATTCCAATACTGCAACACAGCCCCACTGAGTACTAATGATAGGCAGAGCTTTCCTGGCCCTCCAATGATGATTATGCCACAGCCAATACCTATACTGCTTCTAGACAGACATTGCTCTGTGGTAGAGGAACAAATCACCTGTTTTTGATGTGAGAAATTGGTTTCCTACCAGTTTCACCTAACTGTACAGCAGGTGCAGGAGGATGAACCCTTAACTGTATCTGCTGCCACCTTGGCTTCAAGAAGCTAATGGAGCCCATGTCAGGTTTGGCTACCAGCTAGGGAAAATACAACAGACCACTTGTGCCAAAAAAAGTTTGGTTCTCAGCCCAGCTCTCTCTAAGAACTAGGTGCCACTTGGTATGTACCAGTAAAGGTAATGGGCAAGAGTTCTTGGTAGACAGGAGCTTTCAGGACACCGGTTCACCCTACTATGTATCTAGGAACTTAGATCAAAGCCACCATTTTAGCCAGTTAACACTGCCTTCATTCTGACAGATGTGATAAGCTAGATATAACTAGAGAGGCATGTTTCTTACTAAGCATAAGTTACATCAACAACAAAACAAAAGTAATCATCTCTGACCTTAGTTCTTGCATTGGGATCCCTGGTATGAACATACTGTAAAAATTGTCTGTCAGTATTGCCTGCACAGCAGGTGAACTGGTATCCAGTGCTGGACAGATTAGGCATATGAACACTGGACCACATATGTATACATCGCAGGGAGAGAGTCACAGTACTTCCAAATGCACAAACGATGTGTTGCGGTTTACTGCTAACAAGACCTTGTGTGTTGTTGCATGTAATGCACTGATCGAGCCAATTCATGAAATAAACTGTTTCTTTTCCAAAAAGCAGGCAGCATTAGCTCAAACACTTATCTGAAAGGTGATATAATCCCGGTATTTTTTCTGCAATTATGGGCAGTTG